ATGGCCCAAGTCCTTGAGCCCCTCACCCATATGGGAGACCTGGAAGAAGCTCCTGGCTCCTGGCTCCTGGCTTCGGATCAGCGCAGCTCTAGCCATTGTGGCCATCTGAGGAGTGAACCATCGGATGTAAGACCTCTCCCTCTCTGCCTCTCCTCTCTCTATGTAACTCTGACTTTCAAATAAATAAACAAATCTTTTTAAAAATCCTCAACAAAATTCTAGCCAACTGAATACAACAACATATCAGAAAGATCATTCACCCAGACCAAGTGAGATTTATCCCTGATATGCAGGGATGGTTCAACATTCACGAATCAATCAATGTGATATATCACATTAACAAACTAGAGAACAAAACCATATGATTATTTCAATAGTACAAAGAAAATATTTGATAAAATACAATACCCTTTCATGATGAAAACTCTAAGCAGATTAGGTATAGAAAGAACATTCGTCAACACAATCAAGGCAATTTATGACAAACCCACAGCCAGCGTCCTATTGAGTGGGGAAAAGTTGGAAGCGTTCACACTGAGATACAGAACCAGAAAAGGATGCCTACTCTCACCATTGCTATTCAATATATTCCTGGAAGTTTTAGCCAGAGCCATTAGGCAAGAAAAAGAAATCAAAGGGATACAAATTGGGAAGGAGGAAGTCAAACTATCCCTATTTGCAGATGACATGATTCTCTATATAGGGGATCCAAAACACTCCACCAAGAAGCTATTGGAACTCATAGAAGAGTTTGGTAAAGTGACAGGATATAAAAATCAATACACAAAAATCAACAGCCTTTGTATACAGAGAAAATGTCAAGACTGAGACTGAAATTCTGAGATAAATTCCATTCACGGTACCTGCAAAAAAATCAAATACTTTAGAATACCTTTAACCAAGGATGTCAAAGATCTCTATGATAATTGCAAAACATTAAAGAAAGAAATAGAAGAAGATACAAAGAATGGGAAAATATTCCATGTTCATGGATTGAAGAATCAATATAATCAAAATGTCTATTCTTCTGAAAGCAATTTACAGATTCAATGCAATACCAATCAAAATACCAAAGACATTCTTCTCAACTATAGAAAAAAAATGCTGCTGAAGTTCATATGGAAACACAGGAGACCTCACATAGCTAAAGCAATTTTACACAACAAAAACAAAGCCATGGCATCACAATAACAAACATACTGTAAGGCAGTTATAATCAAAACAGCCTGGAGCCAGCGCCATGGCTCACTTGCTTAATCCTCCGCCTGCAGCACCGGCATCCCATATAGGCACCGGTTCTAGTCCCGGTTGCTCCTCTTCAGTCCAGCTCTCTGCTGTAGCCCAGGAAGGCAGTGGAGGGTGACCCAAGTGCTTGGGCTCTGCACCTGCATGGGAGACCAGGAGGAAGCACCTGGCTCCTAGCTTCGGATTGGCATAGCTCCGGCTGTAGCAGCCATTTGGGGGGTAAACCAATGGAAGGAAAATTTTTCTCTCTGTCTCTCTCTCTCTCTCTCACTGTCTAACTCTGTCAAATAAATTTTAAAAAATTTAAAACAATATTAAAAATAAAAATAAAACAGTCTGGTACTGGTATAAAAACAGATTGATAGACCAATGGAATACAATAGTTTCGCCAGAAATCAATCCAAGCACCCACAACCAACATAAATTTGACCAAGGAGCTAAAACCAATCCCTACAGCAAGACAGTCTTCAAAAATCGTGCAGGGAAAATCATATTTCCACATGCAAAAGTATGAAGCAAGACCCCTACCTTATTATACCTTATACAAAAATCCACTCAAAATTGATTAAAGGTCTAAATCTATGACATGACACCATTAAATTATTAGAGAACATTGGAGAAACCCTGTATGACATTGGCATATGCAAGGAGTTCTTGGAAAAGACCCCAGAGGCACAGGCAGTCAAAGCCAAAATTAACAAATGGGATTATATCAGATTGAGATGTTTCTGTACTGCCAAAAATACACTCAGGAAAGTGAAGAGGCAGGGGCTGGTGCTGTGGCACAGCGGGTTAATGCCCTGGCCTGAAGCACCGGCATCCCATGTGGGTGCCGGTTTGAGTCCCTGCTGCTCCACTTCCAATCCAGTTCTCTGCTATGGCCTGGGAAAGCAGTAGAAGATGGACCAAGTTCTTGGGCCCCTGCACCCATGTGGGAGACTCAGAGGAAGCTCCTGGCTCCTGGCTTCAGATTGGAGCAGCTCCAGCTGTTGCAGCCAACTGAGGAGTGAACCATCAGATAGAAGACCTCGCTCTCTCTCTGCCTCTCCTCTCTCTGTGTAACTCTGACTTTCAAATAAATAAATAAATCTTTTAAAGAAAGAAAGTGAATAAATTGTGTGTAAACAATGCAACTAATAAAGAATTAATAACCAGAATATACAAAGAGATCAAGGAACTCCACAGCAACAAAGCAAACAACGTAGTTAAGAGATGGGCAAAGGACTTAAACAGACACTCCTCAAAAGAGGAAATCCAAATGGCCAACAGACACATGAAGAAATGTTCAGGATCACTAGCCATGAGGGAAATGCAAATCAAAACCACCATGAATTTTCACCTCACTCCAGTTAGACTGGCTTTCATACAGAAATCAACAAACAACAAATGCTGGTGAGGATGTAGGGAAAAAGGTATCCTAATCCACTGTTGGTGGTAATGTAAACTGGTAAGGCCACTCTGGAGGACAGTATGGAGATACCTCAGAAATCTGAATATAGACCTACCATTTCACCCAGCCATCCCACTCTTCGGAATTTACCCAACGGAAATGAAATCTAAATAAAAGAGTTATCTGCACCGTCATGTTTATTGCAGTTCAATTCACTATAGCTAAGACATGGAACCAACCTAAATGTTCATCAGTTGAAGACTGGATAAAGAAATTGTGGGATATGTGCACTATGGAATACAACATAGCAGTAAAAAAAAATGAAATCCGCTCACTTGCAACTAAATGAATGAATCTGAAAAACATCATACTTAGTGAAATAAGCCAGTCCCAAATGGACAAATGTCATATTTTCTCCCTGATCTGCAGTTAAAAATAGAGCAACTAAAATGAAATCTGCAAAAATGAAATTGACACTTTGAGAAGGAATGACCTGAGCCTCCCTTGTGTTGACTGTCAAGGAACAGTTTTGGTTTTTTTATTGTCCTCAATGAGTTGTATTATGAGAGTTAACTGTGATACTTGTCCTCAAACAGTTTTGTGTGTGTGTCTGTGTGTGCAAATTGTTGAAATTTTTACTTAGTATAGAGTTGGTCTTCTGTGTACAAAGTTAATTGAAAATGAATTTTAATGGAGAATGGGTCTGGGAAGGGGAGAAGAATGAGAAGTAAGAGTGGGAGTGTAGGTGGAAGGGTGGGTATGGTGGAAAGAATAACTCTATTCCTAAAGTTGTACATATGAAATTTGTATTCCTTAAAAAATAAATTAATGAATTAAATATATATAAACTGTATACATGAAATATATGAAATTTGTTCCCCTTGTATAAATAAATGGAAATATGTATTCAAAAAATGCTTATATATGAATGTTCATAGCAGCACTCTTCCCCAAAACCACAAAGTGGAAATAACCCAAATGTCCATCAACAAATAAAAAAGCAAACAAAATGTGGCATACCCATACAATGGAATAGTGTTCCTTTATAAAAAGGAATGAAGCAGTGATATGCACTATAAGACAAATCTTGAAAATTTTAAGTAAAAGGATTCAGACACAGAAGTTCACATATTGTATGATTCCATTTATTTGGATAAATCTATATGGATGGAAAACAGATTAGTGGTTGCTGGGGGCACAGGAGAAGGGGAATGAGAAGTAGCTGGTAAGGGGCACAAGTTTCAGGTAAATAAAAAAGTTCTGCAACCAGATAGAAATGATTATTGTGCAACAGACCTACTTGGAGCTGAGTCCTGCTGTATGTTTGCAGACACAAACACATACACACACATACACACACCCCAATGTGAAAAAGACCTAGAATGAAAGAATGGGGACATGGGAAAGCTGAGACTGAGTCTGAGATTCAGGTTAAAGTTGAAGTTGAAGGCAAGACCTGGCAAAGCAACTCAGTCTAAGGCTTGCTTTTCAAATGCAACAAGAGCCCAGATGCTCATTCTGGAAAAACTCCAGGATAAAATTCCTGAGCAAGGGTAGACTAACATTAATCTTACCTGTAACTAAAAATTCCTCTTTCCTTCCATCTCTGCTAAAGTTGAAAGAAAACTTACCCTAAAATGTAGCTACTAGAAGTGGGAGAATTGAGTGGGGGGCCAGATGGCTGGCATTGTGGCACAGGGGGTTAAGGTGCCATCTGCAACACTAGCATCGTATATGGGCACTTGTTTGAGTCACAGCTGCTCCACTTCCAATCCAGCTCCCTGCTAATGTGCCTGGGAAAGCAGAAGATGTCCCAAGTGCTTGGGACCCTGCGCCCACATGGGAGACCCAGAAGAAGCTCCTGGCTCCTGGTTTCAGTCCGGCCTAGCCCCAGCTGTTGTAGCCATTTGGAGAGTGAACCAGCAGGTAGAAGAACTCTCTCTCTCTCTCTCTGCCCTCTCTATCTCTAACTCTGACTTTCAAACAAATAAGTAAATGTAACTCTTTCAAATAAATAAATAAATATTTTAAGATAAATAAATAAAAGTGTGGGGTCTGGGTAAGACAGATGATGTTGTCATAACCAGTATGAATGAGGGACTGAGAACTTCCTTCCCTCCTCTTCATTCTGCCCTGAAATGTGTGTCAAGAACACAGGTAATTCATGTTAACAAGAAATATGTGCAGACTGATGGCAATTTATTAGTTTCTTCAACCTGAGATATCTGAAGGCAGATATATCCTTGAAGCAATTGATTCTGATTTCTCTCATCAAAATAAGTGTCCCCATTGCACCCAACCACATAGCCTTGCCCTCTACACCCTATAAGGACACTATGAACTGGAAAGTCACTTCCTTCCTTACCATGTCTTTAAAGCCTCCAAGGACAGCAGCAGTGATGATGCCCAGGAACAGGCCGACAATGTTGAGAATGGTGGCAGACCAGAGCAGGTGGTAGAGGTGGATGATGTCCTGGCAGCTGCTGACGTCTATATATTCATAGTACCCACCAGTGATCTCCACGCGACTGTCAGGGAGGAGCACACCCTATTAGTCCCCAGGGAATAGAATGCCTCCCCCATCCCCATGCCCTGGATTTGGCTATCATGGAGCTCAGTGAAAGAACAGGTGTGCAGGTGGGCAGCTATCATAAGGACATCATAGTAATTAACTTGGGAGGGCAAGACTTTTTAATAAATAAAAGTGTTATTGATCTTTATACAAAACAAGCACACTCCTACCTTCCAGAGAAACACTTGTAACCATCATTAACACTAATCCTAGATAGCATTTATTGACACTTGTTATGTACCAGACACAGTTCTGAGCATGTTACATATGTGAATTCATTAAATCTGTGCTTTCCAGTATTGTCACTACTAGCCACACGAAGCTATTTAAGATAAAATTAGGAGCTTAAAATTCAGTTGTTCAGTCTCACCAGCCACATTTCAAGTGTGCAACAGCCACTCATAGCTAGTGGCTACTGTACTGGACACAGCAGCTTGAAGAACATTTTCATTATCACAGAAAGTTCTATGAAACAGAGTTTCAAGTTCTTAGAATATTCTAGGAGGTAAGTGCTATCACCATTTCTATTTTACGGATGAATAAAGTGAAAAGGCACAGACAGGTTAAGGAACTTGCCCAAGTTGTAAGTGGTACAGCTAGAATTTGAATTCAGGCTTCAAATACTTTAGTGTCTCTTCTTTCAAAACACAAGAAAACAAAACAAAAAACAATGTCCCAATAAAGAAGTAAAGCCTATTTGCTTCATGATACCCAAATACTATATCCTTGGAGAAAACCTTCCATGACCACTATCTCGAGACATCAGGGGCCAGTGTTGTGGCATCATAGATAAAGATGCCACCTGCGATGCCAGCATCCCATATGGGTGAGGGTGCACATATGGGTGCTTCACTTCTGATCTTAGGCTAATGGCCTGAGAGAAGCAGCGGAAGTTGGCCCAAATGTTTGTACCCCAGCACCCATGTGCAAGACCCAAATGAAGCTCCTGGCACCTGTTTTCAGCCAGGCCAAGCTCTGGCTATTGCAGTCACCTGGGGAATAAGCCAGCAGATAGAAGATTCTCTCTCTCTCTCTCTCTGTCTCTCTCTCTCTCTCTCCCTGACTTTCAAATAAATAATTTTTTAAAAATTTTAAAAATATAAGCTCACCAATATTTGAAACCCACTCTTCTCAATGGTATGCTTCCACTCTGGAATTTTAAGGGTATTTCAATTCACCAGAATTTGAACTGAATTTCAGTATTTCAGGAACAGAGTTGAAGAGTCCACTCACTTGAGTGTCTCCTACTAGTTAGCATTGTCTAGGCACCAGGGATGTGGCAGGGAACATGCACAGATTCCTACTGCCCTAAAAAGGCACAGCTAGAAAGAACAGGCCTGTGTCTATGAGTAGATTTGTGACCATAGAGACAGAATAGTGGCTTCAGAGGCAGTGTCTGATGTTCTCCCAAATGATTTTTGCCTATCTCCTAAAGCACTGAGAGTGGACAAATAGCATTTACAGTCTCCAACTTATACCAGTTTGACTTATGGTTTTTCAACATTACAGTGGTGTGAAATGTACATGTATTCAGTAGGAAGTGTAATTTGAATTTCGAGTTTGGATCTTTTCCCTGGCTGGTATTGTGTAGTATGGTCTTCTCTCGTGATGCTGGGCAGGGCAGCAGCTACAGCTTCTACTAAGCCAGGTGATCACCAGGGGAGACCACTAACACTATAGTGTTCTGTATTATTAAGCTAAGATGTGCAAACAGGTTATGGGTATTAAATACATTTTCCACTTATGATATTTTAAGCTATAATGAGTTTATCAGGATGTAACTTCATTGTATGTTGAGGAGCATTTTTATAGACAGGCGGTATACTAAAGCAGATGCTGGAGTCAGACTGTATTCAAATAATATCTCTGTCACTTATTTGCTGTCTGACCATCAGTAACCTTCTTAGTTTCTCTGAGCACAGGAGATTTCATGAGAGTATGCATGGAAGCAGTACTCCAACACATAATAAAATGTAGCTAGATCTATACCTTCCAAGAGCGAGCCTCTGGCAACACAATTCAAACCTTTGCATCTTTTTTTTTTTCTCTTTAGCAGGAGAGCTCTTTCTTTCACAAACACTGTACAATTTCAGCATTTTTACAAAAGATCAGCTTCAATATTTGCAAACATTGGGTAGTCTGGGAGATGAGAATTGTTTAAAGGCTAGTTACAATTGATTGATATTTAATGAAAAAATCCTCAGCAAACCTCATCTTTCTCTCCCAACCTTACCAACACAATTCCACCACCCTTTATGAAAACCATAACCTAGAAACACTTGAGACCACACACCTTGTTTTGTGAAATTAACACAAGCTGGACGAAGCCAGTAATGGTGTTATTCATACAGTAGCACAAACTCTAGGTTTGATAATTTTTTAAAAGATTTTATTTATTTATTTATTTATTTGAGAGGTGGAGTTACAGACAATGAGAGGGAGAGACAGAGAGAAAGGTCTTCCATCCGCTGGCTCACTCCTGAAATGGCCGCAACAGCCGGAGCTGGGCCGATCCAAAGCCAGGAGCCAGGAGCCTCCTCCGGGTCTCCCACGTGGCTTGGGAAAGCAGTAGAAGGTGGCCCAAGTCCTTGGGCCCTTGCACCTGCATGGGAGACCCGGAGGAGGCTCCTGGCTCCTGGCTTTGGATCGGCCCAGCTCCGGCTGTTGCGGCCATTTCAGGAGTGAGCCAGCGGATGCATCTTGTTTTTAAAGGCAATAAGGGGTTGGCACTGTGGCGTAGCGGGTGGAGCCGCCACCTGCGGTGCCAGCATCCCATATGGACACCGGTTCAAGTCCCAGCTGTTCCACTTCTGATCCGGCTCTCTGCTGTGGTCTGGGAAAGCAGTCTTTGGGCCCCTGCATCCATGTGGGAGACCCAGAGGAAGCTCCTGGATCCTGGCTTCGAATCGATATAGCTCCAGCTGTTACAGCCATCTGGGGAGTGGACCAGAAGATGAAAGACCTCTCTCTCTTTCTGCCTCTCCTTCTCTCTGTGTAACTCTGACTTTCAGATAAATAGATAAATCTTAAAAAAAATAAAGGCATTAATATTTTAAAGTAACAGACCACAACATGGGAGATAGGTTTAGTAGTTCACTTAAAAATATTCAGTAATTTTAGGGAATATGTTTTGGTATCGGTTTGAATGGTTTCAGCAACTATTTATTGTTTTTAACTGAACCATGCAACAAAGAAGTTAATACTTAGATATGGTCCAGGGGTTAGCAAATTAAAGTGATTTGCTTCAGTTTTAGATTCATAATTCCACTTGGTTCAGCTCTGGGCAGAGTCCTCTGAAATTGCATCTCTTGCATTCCCACTGCTCCCATCCTCATGCCTTCATGACTGCAAGGCCCTCTTGATAGGCCCTATTATTGTTTTCTCTTCATAAAATACTTTATAGACTATATCATTCATTTAATCAAAACCCCTCCATGGCTCCCCAGTGCCTTTAGAAAAAAGGGTACAAATTCTTTGGTATGCTACAATCTCACCCCAAAATAAAGTCCACGCTCCAGCCAGATTGGACTCCTCAGAAGCCCCAAACGGGCCATGCTTGAGCTTAGTCCAAACATTTGCTTGGAATTTCCCCCCTGCACAGGAGGGACTGCTTTCTGTTCTCTGCCTGCCCTAATCTGTCCCACTGTGCAAAGCCTCAGATGCTTTCTCTAAGGACTCCAGTACCATTCATTAGCTTTTTCCCACAGCCCCCAACAGTCTATTCCTCTTGGTACTTTGTATATGCAAATCATTCAATTACTCACTGAATCCAATATGTATTTAGAGCCTAAACAGTGCCTAGTACTATGCTTGATGCTGAAGCTATAATTAAGGCAATGCCAACAGGCTATCTCTATCAAGGCTATGGCCAACAGGCTATCTCTTGATATTCTAACCTCTTGAGGGCAATGGTCACCTCTTAAATGTTTTGTGTGTCTTCTTCACTGCCTAGAAATATTAAAGGTTATGAACAGATTCTTAGTAAATGAGTAACTGAGCACAAAGACAGATCATTACATTGATTATGATATTGACTACTCAATATGACCTTGCATCCCCTTGCTCCCAACTTGCTGGGTGGGCCTAGAGAATCAGACAGCCTCTCTGTGTTTCAGTAACCACTTAACAAAGTAGGAGGCAGCAGATCTTGGAGATGGCAGAAGGTCATTCTTCTCTTTGATAGGGGCCTGGTGCCATTAACCAATTCTTGGTGGGCAGGCAGTGTTCATGGGCAGCCTCTGTGTATTTCTTGCCACATATATTGTATACACCCATTTAAGTTCCTCTCCCTGTAATCCCTTTGGTAACTCAAGTCCCTTAAGTGTAAAGCTATGTTTCATCAACACATATCCTTTCAGAACAGTGCTTGGCACATGGTAGGAGTTTCACAAAAGTTTGTCAAGGGAAGGAATGAATAGAAGTGAACCATCTTCTTTCCTTTTATTACCAAATGGAGCAATTCACAAAGCACTCCATTTCCTTTCAGTTCCTTTAGGTTACACACTTAAAACCTGTGATGTTGACATAACTTCTCCAAAGATGAGTGAATACATGAACACCCAAAGTACTCTGAAAGGCCGCTGCTAAGGAGCTGTGTTCTAGAGAAAGCCACCTTCTTGCACAAGGCTAAATGGAATAATTTATGTTTGGTATTAAAACCTCATCACCCATGACGTCAAAGAAGATCTGTGGGTTCGAAAGAACGGTAGAAACTCTGTCTCTGTAGCACTGTGCAAATCACTACCTGATGTTTTTGTTCCCACTTTTTTTCTTGGCCTCCTTTCCAGGAAATGGACTGGAAGAGCTAGGAATTGATTAAAATTAGGCTTCGTGTGAGGAAAGCAAACATGCGCTTGACAAAATGAAAGTCTCTAAGCCTCAGAATGCTTATTGCTAGCTATATTTAGACCTTGGGTCTAGGGCTCTGGCTCTGGCCCTGGCTCTGGCTCTGGCTCTGGCTGGAAAATATCCCAGGTCAAAGAACAACTTTTCCCTGTGTTGTGGGAGCATCCTCTCTTCAGTCTCATAGTCTGAGATTATACCTGGTTGGACTGTCTCCTGGAAAAAAAGCTAAGCAAGTCTTTTTCTGCTGGCTTTGGCCTTGAATTGTTAGTACCACAGCCTTGGGAGAGGGGAAGAAATGCCTGAGACTGGCCTCCAGGCATTGGGTAGGTGAGATCTATTTTCAGGCTTGGATCTTTAAAAGAAGTGTTCCCAGGACCCCTTTCAGTAACCTTGTCTAATAGTTTATTTTCCTGGTGAAAAGGGATTTCTTCTTTTTTTTCTTTTCAACAAATGTCACTCCCTTTTCATCAGCTCTCTACTCATGCCCAGCCCTATGCTAGAACTCAGGGATATCGATAAAATTAAGTCTTGTTTCCTGCCCTTAGGGAGCTCATAGTTTAGCACAGTTCCTTATAAAATTTCTTCATGAAAGACAATACTGGTATAACCCTCTTTTAAAAAGTAAGAAAGTCAGTTATTATGAAGTTCATATTAACATGAAGATAAACTGTGCTTAAGCCCTTACAAAAAATCACCTGAGTGCTCAGCTAAATGGAATTTAAAGAAGGATTTTGTGTATTTAAACCTTTTCTAGAAACACACCTATCACAGAAAGAAAGAAAGATGTGTCTGCAAGGGATTGCTTCTCAGTCTTCTCAGTGGGGCCCCTGTCTGCAGCTCAAGATTGCAGGCTGGGCTCCCACTACTTCCCAGCCCCAGGAGGCCATGGAATGGAAAAAGAAAGGGGAGCAGGCCAGAGAAGGGAGAAAGATGGAAACAGGAAGGTCAAAAGAAGGAGGAGAGAAAGGGGGAGGGATGGACACAAAAGGGGAGGGAGTTAGGGATAAAGGGAAGCAAGAGGTAAGAGAGAAAAATAATCTCAATTCTTATAAGGCCTATTTTATTTTCCTTTGATCATTTTTGGAAGGATGGGCTCAGGCAGTACAATTATAGCAAGCTCTTAATCATTGCCACTAAGTAAGTCCTTTATAAGTGTTAGTTATTATTACAACATGAATAATTGAGCCATTCAGATAATCCCTAAACCTCATTTGAGTCTTTTAAGTTTCTCTTACTCCACTGCCACACATGTCAATGAAATGAGATTGATGGGAGCAAAAAAGATAAATGGCCCCTGTGAGTTCTCCTCCTTCTCTGCCTACAGCCTGTCAGTACTGGCCTGCAACAGTAAGGGATGTGTATTCATTCCTCTGACACCTCTAAATCTAGCTCCATCCAGCCCTTCTCCTTATACACTCCCTCAGATTCTGAAGAAAATATGTGCATGGACATGTTCTGCATCACCTACTCACACATCCCTGTGGATTCCACCTTCTAAGTTGCCCTTAAAAAATATTCCCAGATTTCTATTATCACCAAACCAACTTAATCCAAGTTCCATTCTCCGTGGCCTGAACTATTGCAGTGGCCTCCTAACTGCTCTGGTCTCTTACTGTTCAAGCCCATCTTCTATGCTATCTAATTCAATGCTTGCCAACTGCCCACAGGATCAAGTCTGGAGTTGTTCCTGTGGCCAAAGGGATCGCTGTCATCTGACCTCTGACTACAGCTCTGCCCTCATCTCCTACCACAACTTCTATAATTATCTCTACTTCCGACCTCCTGACAAATGTCAAGAACAGCCTCCCTCTCTCTACCCCCTTGTAATTTGTCTCATAATTCTCTACTTATCCTTTAAGTCTTAGTTCCTATATGACCTCTTCTTCACGCTGATCTGTACTCCAGCAAGCTCTGTCTTTCATTTATTTGGGATGCCAGGGTTCCCACTATATCCACAAATCATCAATGTACTTATCACACTATATTGCAACCAATTGCTCAGATTTGTCTTCTCCGTTAGTCTAGGAAACTCCTCACTGGCAACATCTGTATTCTAAGCACCTAAATTTTTTTAAGTAAATGGGAATTAGAAGGCAGAGAGCCAGAATAAGTGTAGAACTATCACCAAACCTGCTGTACTTGCTGTTCCTTCTGCTTGAAACACTTGGGTTGCTCTCTCATCTCATTCAAGTTTCTGCACAAACCTTACCTCCTCATAGAGGCCTTCCCTGGCTACTCTATCTAACTTAGTACATGCATACGCATATACCAACTCATCACAATCTATCCACTTCTCCTGTTTCATTCTTCACAGCTCTGATCACCACTTTGCATGATGTTATATATTTGTGCATTTATATCTCTCTTACTGGAGCATAAGCCCAAAGGGGTAAAAGGACTTTTGCTCTGTTTGGCACTGAATCTTCAGTGTCTACAATAGGATCAGGTAACTATTTGTTGAGTGCTGTTGAAGTTGGACACACACAGAGCTGGGTTTGAATCCGACTTTTACCATTTTCAAGATCTGTGTGACCTAAGATTAGTAGTCTCCTCATCTGTAAAATGGGATAGTTCTACATACTCCATAGGTAAGAATTATATGAGATCAAATATCTGAAAGTACCTTGCATGATGCCTGGTACAGAGAAGGTAGGTAAAGCCTGTTAGCTGAAATCTATTGACAGCCTAGTGTCTTCTAATTCTCTGATCCCCACCATGCACTCTTCCCCATTCTCAGCCCTTCTAATGCACACTGTAGTTGAACTATGCCTGGGGCTCAACACTTACTTGCCACAGTTGTAGAGGTCACAGCAGAAGCAGGTGTTGCCCCGGATGCGAGGTGTGCAGAACCCACGGCTGAGGTGTGGACAGTTCACCTGAGAGTACACAACAGTGAAGCAATGAGCTGGCATTGCATGGGAAGCAGGGCCCTCTGGGGTTGGAAATGCAAGTTAGTGACTGATGAAAATGGTAAGGATGGCTGTGAAATGGACGCACCAACGTATGAAAGGGATGGGGCTGGGCAGGCAGCTAGCCAAACTTGTCTATGAGGCTTGTGTCCAGCCCCAGCCCCAGCCCTCAGTGCCCCATCCCTTAAGGGTGGTGATGGAGAGGAAGAAGGACAGATGGAAGGACAGACAGAAGAACAATTGGTGGTAGGAAATGAAGATTCAAGAGGAGAGGAAATCAGGGTATAGGAGGAAAGAGGATCAGGTGGGAAGGAAGACAGAGGGGTCATCACATGCACTCTGAAGTACGATAGTACCTCTCTAGCTGTCTGGGTAAGGTTCCTCATAACCCTCGCGGAAGGAGAATTTTTTGTTGAGGAACTTATGACCTTATATAGGAAAAATAGGATTAGGGGGACCAGTGTTACAAGTGAACCTATGGAAGTCATTATTCATATTTTATACCCATCAAATTAATGCAAGAAAGCTATCATGACAAAATCAAGAGAACACAATGACATTTAACACATTTTGAATTTGCCAAAAAAAAATTCTTAAAACTGAAAAAAAATTCCATTTACCATCTCTTATTTGAAAGAAATTTTCCAGGCTCTCTCCTGCAATATGGATGCAATAGAGTGCTCATCGATTTGTTTTCTTTGTTATAGGGAGTATTTATAGGAAATGGACAATTTTTAATACTGTATCCTTCATCCAAGTGTTCAGTGCCTTTCTGAGGAGCTGTTAACACATTTCCTATTTCTAGTCCTCCCTTCTAACCTGAAAATAGTTGGAAAATGGTCAATTTGTGGTTTGTCAAAGAAAAAATGAAGCAAGCAGATAACAGAACCATAATAAAAGCCTTTACTATGATGCCTTGGGAGCAGGACCATCACTCCGCCTAACTCCAATGGCACCACTCACATTATATTTTATGTAAAATGGCTCCTAAAGTTTGTTGCAATGCAGTGGCCAGTTTATATCCACATGCCTTCCTTCTCTTGTTCAAATCACATTTATAATTTTCTTAAACAATCTTGGGGCAACTGGCTTCAATTGGAGGACAATAGCATAACAAAGTGTCAAAGTTCCTGGAAGCATAAGTAGAGTTTCATATGAAGCGATCCCTGGATTGGAAGGGATTATTGTGTTCTGAAATGAAAGCTCTTCTAAAAGTACCTGGAGTCATGCTTCACCTCATTGTTCATTGCCTCTAGTTCTGCCTGAGGTGACACAGAGCACAAGGAGAGGCACATGGGACAGGAAAGATGTATTCAAGCATTACCAGGTGCTTCAAAAGTTCACAGAAGTTCAGTTTCTTTGGGTGCCCAAAATTAAAATTCATGCATAATTTTTTCATACTATGCATTTCCTATGAACATTTTGAAGAACCCTCCTATTAGGCAGGCCTCCTGAGGGTGTGATGAGAGGGTCAAGGCTAACAGCCCAGGCCTTCCTAGTGCCTTGCTGTGGACAAGGCTTCTCAATTACTCTTTCTGCCTCCAGACCCCTCCTTATGTGTGGAAGTCAGGCCTCCTTAGTCCAGGCAACTGAACCAGCATCCACAGAAATGGGGAGGGGATGACCTATGGTCTCTATATTCTCATCTGTCTCTCTTGAGATGAAAGCCACATACTGAGGGGTTGCTGGTTGTTGTTAGAGATGCAGCCTGTGGCCACAGAACAAAGTAAATTTGATTATGCTTCATGAGGCTCCAACCTATCACCATGGCCTCATTAGCACTGTGTTCTGACCCACTGAACAAATCAGCTACAGATGCATAACAATAAGCCTCTTAGGATCACAAAAAGGGTAAAAGAAAGGTGATTTCAGGCAGAACAAGAGACTTTCTCAGAAGTTAAAGACATGCAGTCACATTCTGACTCACTTCCTCAGCTTCTTTCTGGGATGTCTTGGGGACATAGTGGCACCGGTTAGCATACAGTGGCTTCAGATCCTGGAAAGGAAAACACCAAACCAAAGGGATTTGGGGTTTGGAAAATAAAACAGCAAGAGCTCTCCTTGGTAATAAAAGGTTTGAACACACACACACACACACACACACCCTGGAATAGGCAATGGGTTGGGTTAACTTCTGAAAGTTACCCATTTAGGGAGCCTGAGAATGTAATGATCACACAAAAATATTCTAATAACTGTTTTCTACTGGGCTATTGGTGAATTAGAAATTAAGAAATCAATTCAGAAACAAGTTTCTTGAAATTTGCTCTCTGGTTTCTTCTTATTTTTAGTCATTGTCTTCTTTCAGTCACCAGGGAACAAAATTCAAACCTCCAAGTCACTGTCACATTACACACCCAAATGGAGGAAGCACAGCTGTAGGACAGCACTAGGACTGACTGACTTGTGTTGTCATTTCCCAGCTTTTTTAAGAGAAAGAGCTCAGGAAGCCAGCCCCTGGAGGGTTGGCAGCTGCTGAGACAGCTATAGATATCAACTCAACTGAACTACAAGCCATTTTCACTCAATTACATGGATTAGATAATGCCACCACACTCCAAAAGTACTACCAAAGCCCAGAAACCTAACGTGGGGCTCTAGGACAGTTGATTTACCCAATTGGCTTAGCTAGATTTCTGGTGAGAATCTATTCCTGCTCTCAGGTTTTGGGATTGGGGTAGAACAGACACAATCCAGGGATGCCTGGAAGTGACAGGGATCCCAGGGGCCCCTGGATAGTGAAGAAAAAACACATGATGCTAACTCTTGAGGATCTCTGAGGGAGGGAGAGACTGGGAAAGCATATACAGTGTAATCTTCAGATGTTGTTGAGTTTGCAAAAAAGGACCTGATTGAGAACTCTGCCCACTTCTGTGCAAAAAAGGCTACTCCAAGGTTAGTTATTTCATATAGCATACTTCATTAGCATAAAATTTCAGTTCCCTCTGATTGATTTATTATCCTAATAATCTGATTGGTTGTTATCCCAGCTCTCTGGTTATTATCTGATTGGTTGTTATCCTAGCTCTCTGGTTGTTATCCTAAACCCCTGATTGGTTGTTATCCCTGTTTCCTGATTGGTTGTTATTCTACTCCTCATGAGTGGCTAAATCTGGATCCAGTTTTCAGAAAGGGGCCCCATCAGAGAGAGTCACTTTGTGTATAAGAGAGATAGTACTGTCAAGCTTCTTTGGCACCTCTTCCCTTGGCATCCCTTCCTGACTGCTGTGGCAGGAGATTTCTCACTTTCAGTAATTCTCACTTTGCTCACTGTCCCTGTCCACAAGCATTGTCCTGCAACAGAAGCTTTGAGACAGGGGATTAGAGTTCACTTTCAGGGAAAACACTAAATTTCACAGTGGTAGAGGCTTCTACCAAAGGGAAATTAGGACAGGACAGCAGTTTATGCAAACTGACCCTAGAGGTTTGGCGTAAGTACCCAGGCAAAGGGAATCTGTTGCCTCCCTCCCTTCTGTCTCCACTTCTCTTGCCATTGCCAATAATCCTGGTGGCTGCTTTTTCCCACACAAGTAATCTGGCACCTCCTGTATTTGGCACCCAAGTGCTTCCTGCCTTCTAGCCAGCTGCCCCACCAAAGACCTAGGACTTTGCATCAGCTACTTCTATGTGAACCTTCTGACTTCTCAATGTCCTGAAGGTACATTACCCAGATAGTTTAGCCTCGAAAGGAATGAGGGTTTTACACTAACACCTGGCAGAGGTTATTTTCCAAGTTTGGGTAATGGCAGAAGTCATTTTTATCCTGCTAAAGAGGTGGCTTGATCAAAGCCCTCCTGACCTGATTTTGCAAAAAACACTGAGCCACCAACTGCCCTAAATGAAGAAAGATATGTGTGAGGGTTGTCTGGTTGTTGCTTCTGGCTGCTACTCTTCACTCGGGCCCCAGCAAAGGAACAATAACAGGCAATTGGGAGATAAGAAAAGATCATTCAGTTAGAGCTCGTCAACCTATTTAAATGCAAGGGCCACCAGATATGCAGTGAAGGGGTGCAAAGAGAAATTGTTTTATGTTGAGCGTCTACTTTGTACCAGGCCTCTCTCAGGGTATGTTCATATCCCTTTTTTAAATTTTATTTAAGATATACAAATTTCATGTATACAAACTTAGGAACATAGTGATACTTCCCACCCTACCCTCCCTCCCACCCATGCTCCCTCCTTTCCTCCTCCTTCCTCTCCTATTCCCTTTCTTAATTTTTACAATGATCTACTTTCAGTTTACTTTATATTCATAAGATTAACCCTAAACTAAGTAAAGAGTTCAACAAATAGTATGAATCCGTTATTTAATTTCATTCTAATACTAAATCTGAAATGTAGGTTGCTATTATATTCACCAGAAACTGACATAAGAAGGTAAACTGAATTTCACAGCTAGTTAAAGGCTATAGTAAGGAGAAGGGAAAGAAAGGAAACAAGGAGAGAGAGAGAGAGAGAGAGAGAATAGGACAAATGTGAAAGGGATGCATGGGAAGGCAGGTCTTGAAAGGACATACAGATTCACTCAAATCAAAGGAAAAGGACAAAATATTAACAACAGGGCAGTCTAGCTCCAACCCACCACATCTGTGCTAGGGTCCAAATGTATCTTTCATTTAAATTGGCCAAGAGATATCATCATAGATTAACAAAGCCTCCTTCTTCAAAACCCCTTGAGTGTCATCGAAGACTGGCAGATGTCTTAGGGAAGGTATAATGTAGGCAGAAATATTTTCTTAAACAGTTATCTAGCCTTAAACCCAAACCCTTATATCAAATATTATATTGCAAGTCACTACCTGCAGGTGGTACAGAGGCCATGGACTCAGAGTAAAATAGGTGATCATTATAAGAAACTCCAAGTAAATAGAATTTGGGTCTTTACCCATTGATTTTGAATGAGACCAATGATAAAAAGCAAAGAAACAAACAATAGGAGAATCAGGGAAATGCAAATCAAAGCCAGTAGTGAACTACTGCTTCATACCCACTAGGATAGGTAGAATAAAAAAATCTGATAATAATGACAGTTGGCAAGGATAGAAAAATCAGAACCCTCATACACTGCCAGTGGGAATATAAAATAGTACAGGTACTTTGAAAACCAGTCTGGAAGTTCCTCAATTAAACATAGTTACTATATAACCCAGAAATCCTACACCTAAAGGGAAAGAAATGAAAATGGAAACAGATGTCTGTGCAGACTTGTACACAAATGTTTATAGCAGCATTATTCATAATAGTCAAAAGGTGGAAATAATCCAAATAGCCATTAACTAGTAAATGGACAAACAAAATGTTGCTCATCTATAGGACCATAAAAAGAAATAAATTACTGACACATGCTGCAATTTGTTTAAACCTTATACTATGTAAAAAAGTCAATCTCATAAGAATATATTACAATTCCATTAATATAAAATGCCTCTAGAATAGGGATAGCTCTAAAAAAGAAAGTAGATTAGTGTTTGCTTAGGGCTGGTGGATAAGGGGATAGAGAAGCAATAGTGAAAGGTAGAGGAATTCTTTTTGAGGTGATGAAAATTTTCTCAATTTGATTGTGGTGTTCATAAATATTGTGGTTGTACATAAATATGAATACACTAAAAATAATTGAATTATACATTGTAAGTAGGTGACATGTGCAAGATGTGAACTATATCTCAGTAAATCTGCTTTTGAAAAGCATTGGGAATGGATGAAGGAAGGGAAAGGAAGGAAGCCATTTTAGCTCATGATGCCATCGAAGTCTACTTCAGGTTTCTTAGCCACTGGGCCCATGTTGCCATGGGGACTGCCTCAGAGTGAATATCTTTTGTCAAATGGGGATAATAATGCCTGCCCTATATATCTCTCAGTATTGCAGTGGGTCTCAAATGAGATAATAGATGTGAAAACACACTGAAAAGCTAAATGCATGGTACAAAAACAAGAAAGTATTGTACTGTTAATACAAAGTATTGTCTTGTTAATACAAAATAACATACATACCATGATTGACTGCAACCATGCTACAATAATAGTTATATACTCAAAGGGTAATATACAAAAACAACAATAATCATGGATGTTTAAAGTTATTGACTTGTCAGTTGCCTTTTTAAGAGGGAAAATTTTAAGAAAAAGATGGCTGCTCTCAGCTAAACCCAAAAGGTATAGTTCTGATAGAAGAGTCTACATTTATATTGATGGCCCTGAAATAAAATAAGGCCAAGATCTTTTCTCTTCTACCTCTTATTTTTTCCCCTGCCCAGAAATTATTTCCTGAGATGCCACTTCAAAGATAGCCTCAGTTATAATATTGACCATTTGAATCCCTGTAATCTTGGCAAACAAGGGACTATGCCTCTTCTGTGTCGGAGGAAGGTCCAAGAATGAGTTGAAATTGAAATAATAATATCTCAAATCATCCTAACCAACATCCCACCATATCCATGACATTCCCTCATGGTGATCTTAACAATTACCCAGTGAATAAAATGGAATAAAATGTAATTTGATCCACAGAAAATTCTGTTAGTGTAATTTTGCTCTAAATCAATTATTTTAGAAAATTTAATTTCTGACTAGTTTATGACATATTTTCATTTTCAATACTGGCTCAATTGAAAAAAATGAGCCTTTGTGTTTGTTGTGTTGGGGTTCAGTAAGTTATTGTGGATCACACAATAACCTTGATTGTGGTTTGTGGACCAGATCAGGACTGTATTATGAGTTTACTGGGCCCTAAGCTCTTTTGCCTTTGCAGGCCTTTCTTCCAGTAAAAAAAAAATGAAAATTACATATATTTTAAGTTATTGTATAACTTCATTGGTATAAAAATAAATATATTTATATTATATGCTAAGACTCTTTTCAACCTAAAGTTAACCAGTTTTCTTCTTATCTAAAAATAAATTATAGGCTGTGCCATGGCTTACTTGGCTAATCCTCCACCTGCGGCGCCGGCACACCGGGTTCTAGTCCCGGTTGGAGCGCCAGGTACTAGTCACGGTTGCTCCTCTTCCAGTCCAGCTCTCTGCTGTGGCCCGGGAGTGCAGTGGAGGATGGCCCAAGTGCTTGGGTCCCTGCACCCGCGTGGGAGACCAGGAGAAGCACCTGGCTCCTGGCTTCGGATCAGCACAGCACTGACCGTAGAGGCCATTAGGGGAGTGAACCAACGGAAGGAAGACCTTTCTCTCTGTTTCTCTCTCACTCTCTGTAACTCTCTCTCTCTCTCTCTCTCTCTCTCTCTCACTGTCTAACTCTGCCTGTCAAAAAAAATAAATAAATAAAATAAATTATAACATTTTTATTGACCCTGAAAGAACTATGGGTCCTAGGCACTGTGTTTACCATGTTTAATTGAGAAGTCATCCCTGGGAAAGCCATGTGGAATAATATGAAATATAAGGCACTAAAAGAGCTATGAGTATTCCTAAAGAGAACCAAGTAGTAATCCTTAGTACCAGGCTTCCCCAGAGAAACACAGCTTTAGGTTTCCAGAGTAAAATGGCCCTTACTCAAGGTATAGTTTCTCCAGAGCAGGAAGCATTTGACATCTGAACTGCATGACTGGGGTCTGACCGGAAGCTTCTCCCAACCTCCAATCATGTAACCAGACCCTCAATGAGATCGATACTCTTCTACCACTGTTACAGGAACAGCAAAGTTTGAGATGTTAGAAAATGTGACTTTGTCCTCATGGTCTGTTGTTGTTGCTGTTGAAGGGAAGGTCAGCCACTGAAACCTTTAAGACTCTCAGGAAGTTGTGGCTTCCTGCTGTTCTCTTGCCCTTTCAACCCCAATGCCTCATTCCCAATACTAGTTCCAAACAATTCCCCTGGCCCCAGTAGCGTTGCCTTTGCCTTTCCACATCTTAGCCATGTGTCAAAGGTCTATCTCTAACCCTACCACCACTAAGAAGCTCCCTTGACCTTTGGAGCTCAAGACAGAACACTATGACACTTGGAGTTTGTACCCGCAGCTTAGACCCAGTTCTCCAGATGCCTGTATATCCATCAGTGCCCTCATTATCATCTTGACTGTCAACTCATTAAGAAAAGGGATTATGTCTTCTCCCTTGTGTGTACCCCCTCACAGCATTTAGCACAGTGCTGAATATTCAACACACATTCAATGAAGATTGGCTGTGCATTTTCTCTAAACCCAGGACTGAAAATACTTACAATGTGTCTGGCAGCAAAGACTCCATCAACTATGGCACAACAAAAAGCTGCAATAACACCAAAGCTGATAAACACAATAGAAGCCACCAGCTGCAAGGGGGAAAAAAACACAAGTGTCTGTTAACCTTCTATTCCTGCTGCTTCTGGAAGCTAGGTAATCCCCAAGAGACTGCCAGCCAAATAAAAAACTCTAGCTTGATACCCCATGGGGATGCTCTTTTCAGTCATGCAGGGTAAGTGCTGGGGGGAAGAGGCTAGGCAGGAGAGGAAGACAAGGGACAACTGAGACACTTTTTACATTTTCAGGGCAAGTGAGAAATTCTGTGAGCACTAAATGAAGAAGTAGCTTACTGGTAACCAGTACACTGTCCATGGAGGAACTTGACTGCGATGTTCTACCATCCTCAGACTCAGAAAAAAATATTGGATCTTTGACATCATATAGTCCAATCCTCTATTTTATTTATGTGAAAATGGAGGCACAGTGACAGAAAGTATTGTGGTTAGGGTCTTCATATCATCTATGGAAAGGCCTAGTGCCCACCAACTCCTATTCGATTTTTCATTCCACCTCCACACACTGTTACTCTATGTCATAGTAGACACCAAGAAGACAATAATGATTCTTAGGTTCTGCATAACCCTTACGTGGTCTTCTGCATCATTGGAAAAACAAAACATCTAATTTATTGAGATTTAAATGTCACAACACTTTATAAGGGCTGAAGTCTCTGAAACTGATGGACTTTTTTTTCCATTTTCCACAAACTTTTTGTTTCTTTGTTTTGTTTTTATTTGCTTCTATCTCATAATGGCTTTCAAACAGAAATCAACAAACAACAAATGCTGGCAAGGATGTGGAGAAGAAGGTAAGTACCTTAAATCCACTGTTGGTGGAATATAAACTGGTAAAGCCACTATAGAAGACACTGTTGATGGACTTTTTATAGTATATATGAAAACTTTCAAGTAAGAAAATGCATTCCTATTGGTTGAACTCTTTAATTAACACACAATTATTCTTGGGTGTTTAAATTTAACTGGAAAGTGATCCTTGTTAAATATACGGGTGGGAATAAGAGAGGGAGGAAATGTACAGTTTGGCACATGCTCAATCGGACTTGCCCCAAATGGTACAGTTAGAAACGTGCCTGGGGATTCCAAATCAATCCCATCAAAGTGGCATGTACCAATGCCATCTCACTAGTCCAAGTGATCAATTTCTGTTCACAATGGATCATAATGATAGAATTGGGAGTCAAAGGGATCAAATAAACAAGACTAGCATCTGCTAAAACTAGCTGATAGAATTAAAAAGGAGAGAATGATCCAACATGGGAAGCGGGATACACAGCACACTCATAGAATGGCAGATGTCCTAAACAGCACTCTGGCCTCAGAATCAGCCCTTAAGGCATTCGGATCCGGCTGAAAAGCCCATGAGAGTATTTTAGGCATGGAAAGCCAAGACATTCTGGCAAAAAAAAAAAAAAAACCTAAATGAAAGATCTCTGCAAGTGAGATCCCAGTGGAAAGAACGGGCCATCAAAGAAGGAGGTACCTTTCTCTGAAGGGAGAAGAAAACTTTCACTTCGACTATGACCTTGTCTAAATAAAATCAGAGCCGACGAACTCAAAAGGCTTCCATAGCCTTGGAAACTCATGACGAGAGCCTAGGGTGATTACTGATGCCATAAACAAGAGTGTCAATTTGTTAAGTCAACAACAGGAGTCACTGTGCACTTACTCCTAATGTAGGATCTCTATCCTTAATGTGTTGTACAATGTGAATTAATGCTGTAACTAGTACTCAAACAGTACTTTACACTTTGTGTTTCTGTGACCGTTCAACTGTAGAAATCTTTACTTGAATATTAGCTAGCTGATCCTCCTGTTTTTAAGATACTGGAACATGAATCATGATGTGAATGGGATTGCGAGGAGGGAGCTGGTAGATGGGTCGGTTGCGAGTGGGATGGCAAGTTATGGGAGGGAAAAAGCCACTGTAATCCATAAACTGTACTTCAGAAATTTATATTTATTAAATAAATGTTAAAAAAAAAAAGAAAACGTATTCTTGAGCCAGTCTGTCGTATTCAAGTGGTAACAGAAATTTTCCTATTTAATTTTTCTTCTATTACAAAGGTAACACTATAATCCAAGCCAATGTGTCAGGGGGTACATGTTTCAAAGTGTCTCCAGAGGCAGGTATTGGTGTTACCTGAGCCCATTTTCTACCTGTGTTGATCTCAGAAGTGGATGCAATCAGAATTTTTCTTTTTTGAGGTTTTTGGAGGAAACAGCAAGTCACTAAGCTGTTACATATCAAGAAGAAGAAAGTTAAAGTAAAGGCCACCTTAGGGTTCTCCCACTTCAAGAAACTTGGAGGAAATACTTGTCTCCTTTGGGAGTTATTCAGAAACCTCTCTCCATAAATCTCACTTCACAGCACTAGAGAATTGCTAAATAATGGATGAACGACATCATGAAATTGGCATTATTAGCTATCTCATAATCAGATTACAATTAAAACTCCATCATTATTTTGAATAATTTAAGCCCAAAGTGCAAGCATAACTGGCAGGGGAGGAGGCAGTCCAGGTGAAATGGAAGAAGAAAACTATCAGAAGTCCCCTGAGAGTGATTCCTCACATTGCTGGGGGAAAGCATATGGTTAGAGTTCCCTGTTCCTGGAGCTATTACATTATCTGATTAAACTTGCTGTCAAATAGACCCCATTATTAAAGTTTTGATGCCACAGAGACTTCTACAAGGCAAGCCTAATCAGTCCACCATCTGACCACTCACCAGGCATCTTGATTTACAAGTCTATAAAACTACAATATGCTTATAGTTCATTTTGTGCCGTCAGCCCTTTCCTCAGAGGAAGCCTTCTCTGATTGAAATAGGAAAATTCAGCAGCTTGCCTTTCTGGGCCCCCAATAGGACATAGAACTTTTTAAACTGCACCATCTGTCATGTGTTCACCATTTCTATCAACCTTACAACACAGTTAGCTTTGACCTATAGGTAACAGAGACACTTTCGGTTGCCTTTGTAAATTTATTTTGTCTTTGTTGTACCTCAGGTATATTTGTTCTCTTAATTAAAGTCCCTTAGGTTGTAATCTCCTAACAGGCAGGAATCCCCTATGAAGATGTCCCCAAAAGTTTATGTATCAGAGAGGATAGATATGAGGGTCATCAATAATTCAGGGCTACAAGAAAAGAAATAACAGAAACAAAGGCATTCTAAGTGAGGACAGCAGTCTGACTAGATAGGCTGGAGAACTCCTTTGGAAGTGAGGCGCAAAGGACAAAATCCAGAACACTCCATCCCCATAGCTTAAGGAAACTACCTATGCCAGTGAGGGAGCATCAGGCAAAATATGAACAAGTCCCACACCACATGCTCACTGTAAAACAATTTCTCTAGAGACTTAGGAGAAAAGGCAAAGTAGCAAGGTTTTTTTGTTGCCAAATTCATGCAAACTTAAGCAATGTGTTACTTATCCACATAAGTAATGAGTTTTTTTCAGATGAAGAACCTGGTTTTATAGGGATGACAACTTACCATCTGCCGTTTGTTCTCAACGAGGTTTGATCCGATGATTCCAAGGAATGACCCAAAGCCAAGCTGCAGAGTAACACATAGATAGCATATGGGAAAACAGTTTGACCACACAATCATACCACCTCCTGGATTTGATTCAGCATAGTGGTAAACAACTGAGGTATAGATGCTAAAGCCATGTGCAGTTGCTACTTATATGAATACAGCATGTACAATAAAAGTATTTTCTCTCAGCATTTGCCAATTTTACCTTGTGGCTATGAATCACACCTCAAAAAAAAAAAAAAAGAAAAAAAAAAGAAAAACTTCATGTGCCCAAAAACTAAAAGTAAAGGTCAACTATAACTTTTCAGAGTCTGCCTATCTCAATTTCAATATCCATTACCTAGCATATGACTGGTGAGTCAGTAAGAGAACTACAATGATGAGAAACATTATATTCTGATCTTTACCTGTTTTGGGGAATAGCCTTCCATTCTGATGCATGGATTACAAAATACAGGTTTGCAATAGCAACTTTTGATTCATCTCGCATACTAATCAAACTCAGGAAGTACTTTAGAAATCAGTAAGTACCTTAACCCACATTAAAAAAGAAAAAGAAAAAGAAAATTATTTGAAAGCCTATATTTGTGGTTGACCCACTGCAATTTATGTTAGTACTTATTCACCTCTTCTTCCATCTCTGCTTCATTTATGGACAGAAAGCATTCATTAAAGGGTGAACAGAAATGGCAGTGTGAAACCCTGAAAAACAATTTCCCTGTCTAAGTAGCTGGGATTATGGCTCAGTGTAGCACATCCTACTGCCCTCTCAGTTCTGCCATTAGCAGGCTGAGTATGACAGTTGCAGCTAAAAATGATCACTAGGTAATAGCTGCTGATAAGGACAAAAATGGAAGAAGTGAATAGTGGCAGTAACAGAACAATAAATCTTAACACAAGTTCAGTGATGTAGTTACCTTTCTCTTTAGCCTCACTAATGGTCTGGGTTTCTATCTGTAGCTTTACTTGGGCTCACAGGAGCGTCTATTTCAGTCCAAGGCATACAAGACTCACACCCAGGCTGGGAAATCCAATGGACCCAACAGCTCTTTAGGAGCTTAGTAGAGATGAGTGGTTGTCTCAGAACACCAAGAAAGAAATACAATGAAGAGAATGAATGAATTCAAATGTCCAAGGACTCCTTCTGCAGTTCCACACAGCCAGCAACTCCCTGTGGGAAATAGAAACTGAAGCCCATGGAGGTGTACCTCATGCCATCCAAGAATCTACCAAGAACATCCCCACTCAGCAGTTAAACTATATATCTCTTCTACCTTGTCTTCAAACATAATTAAAATGTGTTGTCATAAAGTATACTGATTATAACCTGATTATTGGGCATTTGGCATAGTGGTTAAGACACCCATTTGGGACCCTGCATCCCATACTGGAATGCCTGGATTCAAGTTTCAGCTGCACTACTGATTTCAGCTTCCTGCCAACGCTCACCCTGAGAGACAGCAGGTAATGGCTCAAGTAGTTGGGTCCCTGCCACCCGGGTTGAAGACCTAGATTGAGTTTCCAGCTCCCACCTTCAGCCTGGCCCAATGCCATCTGTTGCAGGCAGTTGGAAAGTGAACCAGCAGATGGGAAAGCTCAGTCTCTCTATGGGTCTCTCTATCTCTCTGAATTTCAAATAAACATATTTAAGGTAAACAAACAAAAAACCTGATTATCCCACTAGCCTTAACTTCCAACCACAGCTCTCCCACTTATGTCTATGCTTCTCTAAATTTCAGTTTCCTTATCTATAAAATAGAAAGCATAGTAGTGGTTATCTTTTATGGCTTTTGTGACAACTAGGATAATGATTTCAAGGAACTTTGTTCAGTGCCTGACCCACAGTAAGGACTCAGTAAATACTATTTTGTTCTAGTGGTTATTACTATATTTTTTGACAGGCAGAGTGGACAGTGAGAGAGAGACAGAGAGAAAGGTCTTCCTTTTCCGTTGGTTCACCCCCCAATGGCCTCTGTGGCCGGCTCACCACGCTGCTCCGAAGCCAGGAGCCAGGTGCTTCTCCTGGTCTCCCATGCGGATACAGGGCCCAAGGACCTGGGCCATCCTCCACTGCGCTCCCGGGCCACAGCAGAAAGCTGGACTGGAAGAGGAGCAACCAGGACAGAATCCGGTGCCCCGACCTGGACTAGAACCCGGGGTGCTGGTGCCACAGGCGAAGGATTAACCTATTGAGCCGTGGCGTCAGCAGCTGTTACTATTTTTTAAAGACATTTAACTGCTGAGCCACTCTAGCCTGATTTGAGCTGGGAAAGCCTATCATTATTATTCTATTTCATGATAAGAGTGTTTCCCTGTTCTATCTTATCTCCCCCTCCAAAATGTTTTGGAGCTCTTGTTTTTTAGAAGAAATTCCATGAATAGTCTGTGTTTATGGCATGCTGGGCCACTTGTGGAGACTGAGAGAAATTCAGGGGCAGCTTCTTACAGGGAAAATAAATCCTTTTACCATACAGTTCATCAACATCCACAGATATTCACAGAATGCCTCCTTAAGTCCAACAGCAGTATTTTCCCTTGCACAGGAAACAAAGGCACTAGCTATTCCTGATGTTCTCAAATAACTCTCTGATGGCAGTGACCAGAAGACATGGGCTAAAGTCTTGTAGAACTGACTGGAAAGACAAGGCACTCCAGAACTGGAAACCCAGACCAACCAGTTACTTCACCCAGTCCCTCCCTTCTTTCCCTTACCTTTGATTCCATTCTATTACACACCAATCTATTCAGTTGTCTAATATTCACTGAATACCTTTATGTCAAATGATGAGACATTATCCTTGTCCTCTAAAAGCTCACAGTTTAATGAGAGAGAGAGAGAGAGAGAGAGAGAAAGAGAGAGAGAGAGAGAAACTGTGTTTTAAGGACCAAAGGTCAGGTAAAAATAAAGTGCTACAGCAGAGAATAATTCATTCTGAGTTATATCCCTGGCTCTGCTACTCATAAACTGTGATCTTGAGCCAGTTCTGTAACCACTCTGTGCTTGAATTCCCTAATCTGTAAGATGGAAATCATAATATTACCTAATCTACAGAGCTGCTGTAAGTATTGAATGAGATAAAATATGTTGCATGATTTGCAAAAGATAGGCTGCCAAATAAATTTTAGCTCTATGATTTCATATAGAGGGAGACATTTTTATATGATCTCAAAGGATGGATATCTATTTGAATCATGAGAATTCACTCACCTGGATGACACACTGATGAACTCACGCATGTCAATAAGGCATTTGAAAAGCATTTTTAAGTTAAAGAAGTACTCCCCATCCATTTGGATCATGGGAATGCTATGGAATTTGGTGGAGCTAATATCACTCCCATTTGACAGAAAAATAGTGGCCTAGAGGATTGTAAGAATTTGTCTTCTTGGCTGGCGCTGTGGCTCACTGGGCTAATCCTCCACCTGCGGCGCCGGCACACTGGGTTCTAGTCCCGGTTGGGGCACTGAATTCTGTCCCAGTTGATCCTCTTCCAGTCCAGCTCTCTGCTGTGGCCCGGGGGGGCAGTGGAGCATGGCCCAAGTGCTTGGGCCCTGCACCCGTATGGGAGACCAGGAGGAGGCACCTGGCTCCTGGCTTCGGATCGGCACAGCGTGCTGGCCATAGTGGCCATTTAGGGGGTGAACCAACCTTTAGAAAAAAAAGAATTTGTCTTCTCTTACTGCAAGTTCATGGTAGGGCCAAGACCAGCCCTTGGCACCACTAACTGACAGCTGGTGTTCTTTCAGCCACACCTTGCTGATTTATTTTTTTTAATTCTTTTTTTTATTTGACAGGCAGAGTTAGACAGTGAGAGACAGAGACACAGAGAAAGGTCTTCCTTCCATTGGTTCACTCCCCCAAATGGCTGCAACGGCCGGCGCTGCGCCGATCTGAAGGCTGGTTTATTTTCTAAGGTTTATTTATTTGTTTGAAAGGGAAAATTACAGAGAGAGAGAGAGAGAGGGAGATACAGAGAGAGAGAGAGATCTTCCATTTGTTGGTTCACTCCTCCAATGCCACAAAGGCTGGATCTGGGCCAGACAGAAGCCAGGAGCCAAGACCCAGGAGTTTCCTCTGGGTATCTCACGTGCTTGCAGGGGCCCAAGTACTTGGGCCATCCTCTGCTGCTTTCTCAGGCACATTAGCAAGAAGCTGGATCAGGAGTGGAGCATCCAGGACCCAAACCAGTGCCCATATGGGATGCCAGTGTCACAGGAGGTGGCTGCTCTATGCCACAGCGTCAGCCCCACCTTGATGCTTTTGTGGCCAGTGTTAGTATAGTGGTGAACTTAAAGTAACAAGGGCTTCATTGTTACCCTTTAGGCAAGCAGTTCTCTTCAGGGTGAGAAGGCCTATTTAAGGAAGAACTGCAGGCGTAAAAGAAGGAAAACCCATCTGAAACCCAGAAATGGGACGTTGCTTCTAATCAACTGTTTACTCTCCTCAGAAAAGTAAGCTTTGTGGTCTCCCATTGCTCTCTCCAGAAAGGTAAACTCTGTGGTTCCCCATCAAGAGCTTCGTGGAATCATGCGATATTCAGACCTTTGGACCTCCATTTTGGTGTGCCATTATCTAACAAATAACCAGTTTGCTTTGTCTTGGCTGCCCTCCACTTGTGGAAGAAAAAAGACAAACCATTAGAAATCAAAGTTAACTCAAGGGCTGTTTTGGAGGCTGAACTCAGTCATTGATTCCTATTTCCATTCCAGACATCCAGGGATGAGGCACAGAAGAATTAGTCATTTAGCAAATATTAATTGGACATCTACTCTGTCCAATACTCTGTACCACATTTGAACTGTAATTTGGAGGCCATGAGGTAGGGGGAGGTATGACACCAAAATCAATGAGATTCAAGATCAATGAACTCATACAATAATTAGGTAAACCAGTCCACAATCACATTCCATAATCCTGAAATCCACAAAGTTCTTAAAAGAAATTTTTTTCTTTTGACAACTAACTTGGTGGGAAAACCGATGTGAGGTTATTTTATAATCTTTATCTCAGTGTAAAA